ATGCGCAAAACTCCGCATTTGAACAGTCAATAGCAAATACTTAAAGGGGTCATATGATGCTGCTAAAAAGAACATTATTTTGTGTATTTGGTGTAATGAAATGTGTTTATGCGGTTTAATGTTCAAAAAACACATTATTTTCCACATACTGTACATTACTGTTTCTCCTCTATGCCCCGCCTTTCTGAAACGCATCGATTTTTACAAAGCTCATCGGTCTGAAAAGCGAGGTGTGCTGTGATTGGCCAGCTGTCCAGTGCGTTGTGATTGGCCGAATACATCAAGCGTGCGACAGAAATGTTACGCCCCTCACCATACTGTGTTGATGCCGTATCCCGGAGCGACGAGACATAAACAATGAAACCCATTATAAACGAGGCATTTATTGCATCCAGTGGGGACATAAATACTGATTACGATGACTTATACTGTCTTTTTACGCATTGCATTGCATCGCGCCGCGTAAACATAAAACTCTGTCTGCATTTGTGATCGGAGAAATGACAAACAACAAGTGCTACTCTACTGCCTAAAACGCGCATTTGAATCATCAGTGGCAACGAAAAACACAGCGGCCTAGCGTGAGGGGAAGCCCCGGCTTAGCGTGCACTGAGGCCGGGATAGAGTTATCTGAAGCGGGCTGGACTCTGCTTTGTCCACGGTGAAAGTTGATGTATTTCCTCAGCGACCATCACGGATCAGCTCCAGGCATGACGAAGCGGATATCGTCCTCTTTTGGAAGACCAAACAAAGTAATTTCGCTTTCACAACGAAGCACACAGTGCCTTCACGACATGCCGGCAGCGTCAGAACAATTTTAATCGCATCATATGACCCCTTTAAAGCAGATTAGCACCTCCTGGTTAGAGCAATGAAAAAAAAACATGTAATTTCATGATGTAACCACTAGATGCCTGTATAGGAATCTATAAAGAGCCTTTTGAATTCCCTAGTTGTTTTTATACATAATTGTTTACTTTTATTAGGTTGTGGATTTAAATGTAAAATCGCATCATATGACCCCTTTAAAGCAGATTAGCACCTCCTGGTTAGAGCAATGAAAAAAAAACATGTAATTTCATGATGTAACCACTAGATGCCTGTATAGGAATCTATAAAGAGCCTTTTGAAATCCCTAGTTGTTTTTATACATAATTGTTTACTTTTATTAGGTTGTGGATTTAAATGTATATTAAGGCATTCTCAAAGACTACTTTTTGTCAAGGTTTATATATTTTTTGTTGTTTTAAATGTTGATTTGAAGCATCAGTTTTTGAATTATTATTGCTACAGTCAAACCTGAATACAGAAAGCATTTTGTTATACAAAACATTAAAATTCTATAAAAATGTAACAAAATAAACAGGAATGCTTTATTAGAGCTTAATTCTTCTGGGCCTGATGTGATTTTATCCTCTTATTTCAGTCTTCGGACTGATTTTGGCTATATGGCTATAGCCATACCAATTAATTGGAGTGTGTATAATTGTGTGTGTGTCTGTCTGTGAGTGGATGTGTCTGTTTTGCACTCTTGATGTCTTAGAGTGTAACCCCTTCCTTGCTGTCCACTTTTTTACTAAATTGTAGTTGAATTATTGATTTTGTTTTACGTAGTTGCTGTGTTACAGGCACACCAGTTCATAGGGGTGTGTGTGTGTGTCCGCGCGTGTGTGAGTTGGTGTGTTGATTTTGCACTCTAAATGTTTTAGAGTTTCACCCCTTCATTGCTGTGCCATTTTTTTCTGCATCGTGGGGGATTTGTAGATTGTACACACACAAATCTTCTGTATTTAAATTTTTTTTGCCATTTCCCATTCATTTCCTATGGTCGGTCATTTTTGACCGAAGACCAAGAGTGTGACTTTTTTTTTACGAGCACTTAGCTTTTTCGAATCATGCCCTCAATTATTTTGTGTGTTAACATACCAAGTGCCGTAAAAGTCACCAAGTTTTGTACCATTCCGATGAAGCTACAATTTTTAAATATTCAAAATGTAAAATTCTTCGGTCAAAAGTGACCGATGACCGCACAAGGGTTAATATTAATTACTATATTAATAATCACAATATAGGTATTTTTTTATTTGATCTTTATTAAAAATAAGAACAGATGCAAAGAACAACAGTAGAACAAATGTAAGAAAGAAACAAATGGGCCTAGTGCGTTGCTTTTTACATTTTGCATCTAAACAAAAGCATTCAAGTAAGAAATACAAATAATCAAATGTAAAAATCACTTCAGTGTGTTCATTACAAATAAATTGATTATTAAAATGACAAAAGCAGTTCAATCAAGAGCAGCTTTTCTTTTATTGTTAGATTAACATTAATGAGACCTGCTGTATTGCACGGATCTAATATAATGTTACACACATAGACTGTAAAAAAACATGCACGTAGTGTCCGTGACGTCACCCGTAGGTTTCCGAAGAGCGTTTTTGAAGCTCAAAGTGGGCGGAGCCAGCCGTCATCACTCCCGGATAATCGAAAATGGGCAAAGAGGCGGGAGCATGTTGCTGAAGCCACGCCCACCTACCTCAACGGTGGTGACAGCAGCGGCAATCCACCTGTCACTCAAGTGGCCACGCCCTTAATTATGCAGAACTTTAAGGCTTGATATCATTTAAACGGATGAGTTATAAAAAAAAATCACCCCCCTCACAGTTGTCACGAAGAGCAAAATTAGCTATACAGACCAAAACCACTTTTTGTACCAGGCTGTAAACATATTTTTTTCTGCTGTGAAGTCGGGCATTTTAACACTGGGCGTCTATGGAACTGACTCCCTTTTGCAGACCAAGACAGAAGACAATGAGCGCAGTGCTGAAAAGGGGCGGGGCTACAAAAGGTCTATAATAAGTACATCTGTTTACTTAATGGAATTATTAAATAATGCAATCTAAAAATAATATTGTTAAAGTAGTTAATAATTATTATAATTGAAATTATTGAATAATTTAATCAAATCGGTACATTTCAAACATATTTATGATTTATCATAACTTATAGGCCACTTCAGTGAAATCATACAATCTGGAAGATGTCTGTCACTTACTCTGATTGTTTGACTGTAAAAGTCTTAAACGTTTCAGGCTCCGAAAGAGTTTAAGGTGTGGAAGAACAATGCCGTTCCTCCCCCACAGACGTATGTGACGGAGGAGAAGAAGAAAGGAGCTCCTGATGGAATGGACATGGCCATCAAATGGTCCAATGTGTACGAGGACAACGGAGACGACGCCCCTCAAGCCCATGGTGGCCCTGCCCACTTCCTGCCAGAGGAGGAGGAGCCACAGCGGCCAGACTCCGGTAATTCTATTGTCCTCAGAGAGAGTTTAACATGTGCTATGTTTGGATCCAGTGTGAGATCACAGGCATCTGAAAACAAGAAGAGAGATGAAAAGTACATGAAGGACAGTTTTTACACATGTATGTTGGTAAACTGAGTAAACCCTACATTACATTTAAGGGTGGAATTAAGGGACAGAATGTAAAGTTCGTACAATATAAAAATCATTGTCTATAAAAACAATTCTGATAAAAAACTCAACGAGTGAGAGTGTGTGTGTTGTGTGAGAGAGAGAGAGTGTGTGTGTTCATATTTTTGAAAGACGCTCACATATATGATTATTAATATTTTGAATTAGTTTTTATTTGTATATTGTCTGTTTTCATTTTAATATATTCATTTAACTTTCATTTTAATTAGTCGTTCATTTATTTGTTTTTATTAGTTTAGTTTTTATTAAATGTTTACTTTGTTTTTATTTTGTGTTTTAGATTTAGTTATTTTAGATATTAGTTCAGTTATTTCTGTTTATATTAAACTAATCTAAATGAAAATGAGAAATGAAAAAGCTGAAATAAAAATACAATTGTTTTTTTTGTTTTTTTTAAATTACCATTTCAATTCAAGTTTTGTTGTTTGGTTTTATTTCGGTAAAATATGTTGAAATAAATTTTCTTTTACTGAAATATAAATGAAAACCATTTTTACCTAACATTTAAAAAAATTTTTAGTTAACTACAATTACTCAAACCCTGATATTTATCTCAGATATATGTGTATTAATTTGAGCTTTTATTTATTTATGATATGAGCTCTTGTGTAAATGTACAGCGATATTTGTGCGTTTAGTGAATGGTTGACCCTGTAAATGTGATTCACGAGCAGAGTATGAACAGCGACCACAAACATGCATCTATTAAGCGTTTCCACAGAGCCTGACCTGAATTCCAGTGCGTTTGCATCTTATGACTGGACTGGAGTTCATGGAAAATCATGTCTGAATGACGAGTCTGTGCTCAGAGACATATGGCCTTCATACTAGGGCTGTCAAAATGACTGAAACCCTAAATTCAAATTTTCTACTTAAATATGAGAAAATTATAATTATATTCGAATTTTAAAGGCATAATTTCAGTTAGTGGGGAAAAAAGCTTTTGGCTTCTCTCCTGAGGCCACAAGAGGGCGCATCGAGCAAAATATTACTAATGCACGTTTCTTCAAAGCGTAATAAAATAACACAAATAAGTGCATAATGTTTAAAATAATGTTTATAAACCATATATAATTAATAAAGTTGCTTAAACAATTAGAAGAAGAAAAAACGCACCATGCATGTATGTATAGCTTAATACAAAGAACCAAAAACCAATCACAAAGAGTAGGCTACTTTCTTCATTTAAAAACATGAGATACAGTGGGATGGGGGAAAACCGCCATAAAGTCTTTAGACATGTTGTTTAAAAGTTGAACTAGCATTCATTTTTTTTATGGCTTTCTAAACATGCCGCTCTCTTGTGCGAGACATGAGTGCAACGCTGATAGATGTCCCTCTAGAAAATGTGATAAATATGCGTTCTGTGTGAACGACTTGGTTTCAGTTTCGCCGTAAACAACATCATCTCCACACTGATGCTCTCGTTTTCCACAATATATTGCATGAACAACGTAGCAGCGCCATATATAGCAGCGGTATATATATATATATATATATATACCGTATATGAATGAATATGCCTGTTTATATATATTCATATTTTGCAAATAAATGTCTTATTAAAGTCATTAAATTATATATATCTGAATATATTTATATATGAATGAATATATTTCTGAATAATGAATATACCTGTTTATATATATTACAATTTTGCAAATAAACGTCTTATTAAAGTCATAAAATTTTATATATATATATATATATATAGCTCAGCATGTTAGTTGACCAAATATATATATATTAAAAAAATGTGCTGTTGTCCGTGATTTGCGGTGTACTAATTGTAATCTCAGACACTATGTAGTTTAGTAGTAGACAGATTGAACAGCTTTCGTGATGTGTGTGGGACAGCACTATTCATTCACCACAGATGGACAGCCGGAGCAGGAGACACTCAGTCTGACCCTCGGCCTGAGAACCAGTGGGAGGACAGACCGGTTTAATAAAGACCACAACAAACCGCGCCGCACCAGACTGACCGGTGTGAGTTCAGTTCAGACTGAGACAATATGAATGAATATATTTCTGAATAATGAATATACCTGTTTATATATATTACAATTTTGCAAATAAACGTCTTATTAAAGTCATAAAATTTTATATATATATATATATATATAGCTCAGCATGTTAGTTGACCAAATATATATATATTAAAAAAATGTGCTGTTGTCCGTGATTTGCGGTGTACTAATTGTAATCTCAGACACTATGTAGTTTAGTAGTAGACAGATTGAACAGCTTTCGTGATGTGTGTGGGACAGCACTATTCATTCACCACAGATGGACAGCCGGAGCAGGAGGAGACACTCAGTCTGACCCTCGGCCTGAGAACCAGTGGGAGGACAGACCGGTTTAATAAAGACCACAACAAACCGCGCCGCACCAGACTGACCGGTGTGAGTTCAGTTCAGACTGAGACGAGTCACATTTGACCGGGCCAGATGTGTTTGCATGATGCTAGGCTGTTATTAGTGTGTTGCCATGTGGTTGCTAGGGTGGTTGCTAGACCGTTGCTTTGTGGTTTGCTCAACAAGTGACAAGATTGATACTTTAATACTTAGTGGTTTGATCTAAGAATCCAGAGATAAGCAGACACACACTGCTAGAATCAATCAAAAGTCAGAGCCAATCAGAAGCGTGTGTGGGCGGAGCCTCTGTATTCACAACAGAATGGATAAGTAGCCTACATCAGTGTTTCTCAACCAGGGGTCCGTGGACCCCTAGTGGTCCTTGACGTAAGGCCAGGGGGTCCGTATAAAGTATGAATTTTTATGGCATGACATGTTCCCATGAAAGAAAAATCCAATATAGCTGATGATATGGCCAAATACTGGACAAGTCAACTAATTTGAATTATTCTTGACTGCATTTGGTCCTCACAAAGATACAAATGATACATAGAGGAGTCAATTTTGTTCTGGGGGTCCTTGAGGATGGTTCTGAATTGGACTGGGGTCCAGTACGCCAAACGGTTGAGATTCACTGGCCTACATAATCTAATTCTTAAATAATGAAACACTTTCAACATGATTAAAAAATACATACTGAGTGACTGATACACTTATTACACTTCAGATAAGACAACTTTATATTTGTCTTGCATTACAGCAGGTTCACTCACAATTACAAAACTTTATCACATGGACAAAAGACCGACAAAAGGTTCAGTCACAAAAAAAAAAAATCATATATATATATATATACATTTTCAAAACTCCGGTACAGATTTAATTTTGTGTAACTTGTTCAGCTCTAATACAGCTTGGTGTAGAAAGGAATACTTTAACCTAATTCGATTATATCTTTGGACCTTATACCGCCGGTTGGTTGTGCAGCAGTACAAATTCATTCTACAACACTTGATTTGGTTCAGAAACAATATTATCGGCCAACCTTACAAGATTTTATATACTTTTTGAAGTGGCTGACCCACTATTTTGGAACACATTTTTAGTAAGTTCATCATCTTTGTTTTTAAACTGACAGATAAACCAGGTGCCCATGGGCACCACATTGGTGACCACTGCGATATACAATATAACTTTATTGTCAGACAAAGTATGAATTTTGTCTTGCGTTACAGCAGGTTCACTCACAATTACAAAACTTTATCACATGGACAAAAGACCGACAAAAGGTTCAGTCACAAAAAAAAAAAATCATATATATATATATATACATTTTCAAAACTCCGGTACAGATTTAATTTTGTGTAACTTGTTCAGCTCTAATACAGCTTGGTGTAGAAAGGAATACTTTAACCTAATTCGATTATATCTTTGGACCTTATACCGCCGGTTGGTTGTGCAGCAGTACAAATTCATTCTACAACACTTGATTTGGTTCAGAAACAATATTATCGGCCAACCTTACAAGATTTTATATACTTTTTGAAGTGGCTGACCCACTATTTTGGAACACATTTTTAGTAAGTTCATCATCTTTGTTTTTAAACTGACAGATAAACTCATATAACATACAGTATTGTGTTCATCTGCTTCACCCATTTGCTCTTGTTACATGGACTCTCACTCTGTAGTCTAAATATTTGATAAATTATTGTTGTATCTGAATGTGCAACAGTGATCGAGTACTCAAGTTATTTGAGACAGTCATATTGCTTTCAGATGTTTCTTTTTTTTTTTTTAATACTGATGTTATGACAATTTTTTTTAATTGAGATTTATGCGTCATCTGAAAGCTGGATAAATGAGCTTTCCATTGGTGTATGGTTTGTTAGGATCGGACAATATTTGGCTGAGATACAACTATTAGAAAATCTGGAATCTGAGGGTGCAAAAAAATCTAAATATTGAGAAAATCATCTTTAAAGTTGTCCAAATGAAGTTCTTAGCAATGCATATTACTAATCAAAAATTAAGTTTTGATATATTTACGGTAGGAAATTTACAAAATATCTTCATGGAACATGATCTTTACTTAATATCCTAATGATTTTTGGCATAAAAGAAAAGTGTATAATTTTGACTTATACAATGTATTGTTGGCTATTGCTACAAATATCCCCCAGCGACTTAACACTGCTTTTGTGCTGCAGGGTAAATTATAGACCGTGAATTAAACTACAAACTCGATCATAATGTAAAATGTTTCATCTATTTATACATCATATTAATGGAGTGTTTCACTAGTTAGCAGTAAACCGGTTACCTCACCTGAATATGCTCCTAGATTTAACTAGCAGTTATCTTTGGAATGGAATATGGATATTTTATTTGTAAACACCATAGACTACTTTTTTGTTATTTATTTCAGTTTCATAAAACTAGTGAGCTAAGCCAGTAGTAGTACTGACAGTGTTGTTGTGTAAACATGACTGAATGAGCAAACAGCAGAGGAACAGACAAACCGA